AGCCCTTATTTCAGCATTACTCAATAAACTGTCCAAAGCCTCACTGTCCTTTTGTAAGAGTACTGGCTTTTTCGTGTTCTGTTCGACCGTCGGTTTGTCATAACTTCAACATAGGTCCTCCCTTGTTGATTGTTGACTTTAACAGTTTGACGCTTACCTTTGTCTCTAGTGACAAAAAAGTCTACAACTGTCTGAAACATTCGAAGAACCAACGTCCCTCTCCATTCGCCCCTTCCGGTATCATCACCACTCCTTTGCGACGGCTCTCACCATATTGTGCGATCGTCATATATCTACCACGACTGTTCGACCTGTGCCATAAAAGCTCTTGATGACTCAGAAAACTTGGCAACAAAGTCCTCCTGCTTGCTTGTCCCCCTCAATTTATCCATCATATTCAACATCCACAAGGCACCAAACCTCCCCATATAAATTGCATTCGATGTCCTCGATCCCCATTCGGTCAACGTAACAATGCTGGGTTCATTTATAGACACACAAAATTCCTTTGCTTCCACTCTAAAATGAAGATTAAACTCCTTTGTACCAAACAATTCCGCATGCCGCTGAATTGGTGCATCTGACAGTTGAACGGAAGGGTGGAATGACCTGGGGAGGTCAGGCTGAGTCTGCAGGAGGCCAGTCGCCGGCGCGTGTGGCGCACGCGTCGCCAGAGCGTGGGATCCACGCGCTGCCGGAGAACCTCCCGGAAAAGGCCCCGCCTAGCCTTGGTCGGAATGGCCTATGCAGCCTTCCGGTCAGGCGCGTGGAGCCAGGTGGTGGCCGGAAGCCGCTCCTGTTTCAAGATCCGAGCGACGGCGCTAGGGTTAGCACCTAGGGTCGCCGTTTGCACTCGTCTTCCCTGGCCGATTCGGCCATGGTTTGGTGGCTTGAGGCCGGTGGTTGGGTCAAGTTCTATTGGGTCGGTAGGTGAGTTGGCGGGTTTGGATGTTGAAGGGTAGCTCTCCATGCAGGAGAGAGTTTCTTCAGTCGCTTAGGGTTACGGCTGGTGTATTATTTACTATCTGGAATATGTGGTGATTTTATAGTTGTAATGATTATGCTAAATTATATTTGCATATTTAGTTAGAAATATAAACTGTCATGTCAATAGTTAAAGTGCAATAAAACATTGAATGGAGATGAATGACATCCAAACACGTAAGCAGAACTTTAAATTGCTCTTCGTGAAAATACATTGTTTATGTTTATGTTTATTCTATTTTAAATTTTATATGATTATGTAAAATACCCATGCAGTATTATCAGCCCCGTTTCATGATTGAAAGCAGATTGTCTGCCAGTTCGGTTATAATTCTCTTACAGTTTCTCTTTGTGCTCCATACCTATGCAGGATGGTTTCTCTTTGATGCCTTATATTACTGTTGTAAAGGGCGATCAGTTGTTAAGGGTTTACTTATTCTCCCTCTCATGCTATTAATCTGCATTGCTTGTTTTGCAGGATGCAAGATATCGAACTTATGCATATGCGATATGCTCTTGAATCTGGTGTTCTGGCTCTGGGGGCAATGGAGAATAGTGCGACTGATGGAGCAGGAGATCAATATATGGCTTTACATCATTTGAAAGAACTGAATAACCATTTGGATGCAATCACTAACATTCCTCGCAAGGTTTTTTGAGCTGTGGTCTTTGAACTTGTTTTTTTATTTTATTTATTTATTTATTTTTGATAGGATGGTCTTTGAACTTGTTATAACGTAAATATTCACATTTACTTTTTTTTTTATTGTTTCTCTATGGCGTACAAAAGGCAGATACAACTCAGCCCCTATTTCATACTTATTTTCGACCACACATTCATGCAATAAAATATTTTTCACGTAAACCTAAAACTTCTTCCAACTTTTTAACCACACGTTCTCAAAAAATACTATTCAAAACATCTTTCTTTTGGAAATAATGGCCAACAAACAGTGGCACAATTTATAGGTACAGACGTACAGTCTGGAGATGGTTAAGCGAGGCTGAAATCTATGGAATACTTGTTAGATGATTGTATATGTAGACATGACACTGAACACGTATTAAATACTTAGCTGGTCTTCGGCACATTAGATGGAGAGGACTTGATTCATCTTGCTAATGGTAAATTCTGGTTGATTCATCTTGGAAAGGAAATAAATATCTGTTTGAAATGTAACGTAGTGTTTTGCAAAAGATGACTTCATTTATCATTTGTCATGTACATTACATCACTTCCTACTCAACTCACAATTATGGTTCACAATTTTGTTGATTTATCTGAGTCGCATAATGTCTAGTTGTGATTTGTCATTAAAATCACGTATCCTCTGTTGGAAAGTTGTTCCATCAATGTTCTTATGCGTTTAGATTGATAGTTCTTTTTCTCCTTTTTCGTTTGACAGCCGATTCTTTTCTTGTGTCCATACCATCTATTTTAGGTTTAGAGGATGAAGGGAGTCCACATTCAATTGGAGGGATTGTAATTTCTTTTTAAAACTAAATAGAGGATTAACAATGAAGTGTTGAGAAAATATCAGATTGAAGCGATTGTTTTCCACCACAATATTCTGCTTATTCTAGACTTGCATATCAGTGAATTTAAAATTTTCTTATTGGTTGGCCTCCCTTTTCATTTTTGCATTTGCTTTACTATGTTTTCTAGTTGCAGCTACCATTAGTCTTAACCTATTGTTAAAAATATTGTTAAATATAAGATTTAAAGCATGTTCAGGAAGTGTTGATATGTGGTTATTTGAATAAATAAAGATAGAAATGAGTGGTTGATAAGTAATTAGTACTTGTGGGTCCTTCGAAATGTGTGAATAAAAGTTGCTGGAATGTTAAACATTTAATAAACATGAGCCAACCATAGGCTTAAATTATATTCATGCGACCCTCTCCAACAACTTAAACTTTTAGATTTGAGTGGTTTAACGTGGTATCACAAGCATGTGTAGGTCCTTGGTTCAAGTCACCCGTTTAATGAAATTGTGCATGTGTCACAATTTGAGGGGAAATATGAACCCTGGCAATGTGAGGAGGCTTGTTGAAGATAAGATTTAAATGAATAAACGTGACTTTATCTAACAACTTAAACTTTTTGATTATGTGGTTCAACACCTATTCACATTCCAATCCCTTCATCTCCCTGGGCTTCAGCTCGGTTTAAATATTTCACATTTGACTGAATAATATCTATCAATATATTTTATTCACTAATTTTACTTTCACTCTTGGCATTCCCTTGGACTCCCAGATACAACCTCCCAGCCAAGCCGTGTCCTGAGAACTTTTTGCATTTACTTGCATTCTTTGTCGAACACAAAATGATGATTTTTTATTGCAAGGCTAAAAGAGTTAACGATCTCCTTTTTTGCTCCTTCCCTTTTCTATTGTTTCTTATGCTATCCCTGATCTTCACGTGATGCAGATATTCATGGTGAACATTATCATCTCGCTTCTACAGATGGATAACCTCCGTCTTGATTTAACATCACTTGATCTGTCGAGGAGATCTTCTGAATCTTTCGATATTCACAGTGGAGAACAAGCTGATTCCTCAACACATGTAGGGGGAAATAAGATGGTTGTCTCCCTTCTTGGACAAGTCCTTAATATTCTGCAGCAGCAACTACCCTTATCACTAGCTGATCTGGACAATGCATTGGATGATCATATATCTGCTGGTGGAAAACAAGCCTTAGAATGGACAATATTGAACGCAAAACAATTCATTGAAGATTGGGAATGGCGTTTGTCAATTTTGCAACGCCTTCTACCATTATCAGAACGTAAGTGGAGGTGGAAGGAAGCTCTGACGGTGTTGCGTGCAGCCCCATCTAAGCTACTCAATCTGTAAGCTTGTTCACTTTCTGTTTTCCTTTGTATACTGAGAATGTTCCTTTACTTTATCCTACTCTATCAGATGTAGGTCCATGTCTTGTTTATAAGGATCGTATGCAGTTCTCGACAAGTTTGAGAAGTACTTATTTAATGTATATTTGATGAGTGTAATATTTGTCATGCAGTTGCATGCAAAGGGCGAAGTATGACCTAGGAGAGGAGGCTATTCATCGTTTCTCCTTACCTCCAGAAGACAAAGCCACACTCGAATTGGCTGAGTGGGTGGCTGGTGCCTTCAAAAAAGCATCTGTATGATCCTAAATAGCAACTATAAAAAATACTTCAAGACCAGATAACTTTTCTAGGAATACTCAATGATCATTTGTCATGAAGTTTCTCACACAAAGAGCATGTTTGAGCCCCCCTTTTTTCCCAAAAATACATTTTGAAATAGTGATTTGATGGGGAATATGTGGTTAAAAAATAAGAAAAGTTTTGAGTTTGCATGTAATAATATTTTATTGAAGAATTTGTGGTTGAAAATAAGAGAGAATAATGTATTTTGAAAATAATGGGGACCAAACATATGCTAAGTTTTTGATTTCATGACAAATATTGGCGGGCGTAATGCATCAACTGGCATGTGAGAGTGAATTGCGCTGATACCCTCCACTGATTTCCCCATTTCTTTCTACCACATTCTTTGTATCGAAATGAATATCTTGATTAAACTTTGGTAAATGGATAATCATCCATTTCTGTTTCTCATGAGATACCATAGGCTGTGAATTGGGATGGATTATATAGAGGTAGGAGATTCCAGAATACTCTAAATAAAATCTACTTGGGTATCGTTTTTAGGTGGATGATGCAGTGTCTCGAGCTGTTGATGGTACTTTTGCTGTCCATGAATTAGATTTCTTTTCCTTGCGCTCTCAGCTGGGTCATTTGGCAGCTGTAAGTGTTTCTTCTTCGTCCTTTGCCATCTAAAGTTGATGCAGTGGTAAAGTTTCTCAAATTTTGTGGATGTAGATTGACATCTTTGTTCTGTTCCAGATTCTCCTATGCATTGATGTAGCTGCAGCATCTGCTAAGCTACCAAACATGTCTTTGAAGCTTCTAAATCAGGTAATGTAGACAACTTTAATTCTTATTGGTGTCTGCGATCCCTACATAAGAATTGTTACTCCAGCACTATAATTTTGGATGTTATTTTCTTATATATTGTAGTTACCTTCTTTTCATATCGTTTGAAAGAGCAATCCTTTCTAGACTCAAAAATAAGTTATATATGGTATTGATACCTTGTAATTTTTCTTTTGCATTGTTGAATTTGTTTCTCTGTCGACATGGCTGCCATTTCACTTACGGAAACACATAAAAGGACTGAATCCCCACCATTCAGCCACATTTTATGGGGCCCTCTTCGAACTCTTGATGTCTTTATTTTTAATAGATCAGGATAAATACATTTGTGGTGTTTGGTTCCCCCCGAAGTTATTTGTTACAGTATTTCTCTACCTGTGATTGTGTGTACTTCAGAGGGCTTGTCTCCTTCATAACCGCTGGCTCCCTTGGCTGTTGATGCTATCCATTCAAAGTACAGAAGCAATTCTTATAAGAAAATTTAAAGAAGTTTTCTTGAATGATGAATCTTTATTTTTCAAGAGAGAGTGTTTAGAGAAGATACACTGTAATTTCTAAGTGTATCTACGCTCAAATGATTTCACGCAGATATGAAATCAGAGTTATTGGTTTACATATGTCCATTTACTTCATTCTTTCTTTGTGTTAAACATGTTAAATATTATTTAACTTAGATTTAACTTAATGTGGGTATTTTATGCTTGATAATGAAAAAGAAGTAAGGAATCCTGCAAGGAACCTGATATGGGGGCTGTCTTTTGAATCTGAGCAACATACGCCAAAGGCCAAGTAGACGAACTAATTTTGAGCTCAAAAGTACGAATGCATTCTCCCCCATCATGAGGATATTGTGCATTTACACTATTTTTTGTTGGTTGCCTGTTGAACTTTTTTAAGTGTTATAGGAGTACTTCTGGACATTCGCACATGTATTAGGTCAACCACCCTAATACTTTCCTGGTATATAAAAGGTGTTAGGGCAATCCTCCATTCCGTGTGTCATAATAGAGAGAGAAACAATGAGAGGCATGGGTCCATAGCATATTGTGTCTCTCTTCTTCTTCGATATGGTGCAATTCTGCGTTGGCTCCGAGTGGATGTAGCTCTCTTATTGAGAGTGAAGCACCTTAATTTCTTGCTTACGTTTTTCCGATTAATTACTCATGGTTTATGGGTTATTTGTTAATCCATAACATTTTTTATTACATCATTTCTGATTTGACTTTAAAATAAGGGTTTGAAAAGTAGGTATGAGTTCTGACTGCTGGCTTGATTTTGACGTGTAGGCCCAAGGTATGCTTTCTGAGATCTATCCTGGTAGTTCTCCTAAGATTGGATCAGCTTATTGGGATCAGATTCTTGAAGGGGCAATAATTTCTGTTGTGAAGCGTGTCCTTAAGCGTCTACACGAGTTGTTGGAACAGGTGATTATCTGAAGCTTTCATTTTTGAAATTAGTTTTTCCTTAGTTTGAGATATGTATTGAAATAGTTTCATGAACTTTTTATTACCTCCATATTTTACCAGGATCCTAAGCATACTGTTTTCCTTGATGCTTAAATTGCCTATCGAGGCTGTCCTGTTTGATTTGTCAATCCTTCACTTCCATTTGCACATCACATGCTCTATCTTAGGAATTTTTGTTTTTTCATGATTTATTCCTTCAGGACAATCCGCCAGCTCTTCAGGACATTTTGTCAGGGGAAATGATCCTTCCGTTGTCAAGGGAGTTTCATAGACAAGGAAACAGGGAACGGACTCTTGTTTTGCTTCATCAGATGATTGATGATGCTCACTGGGGCAAGCGTCAGTTCCTTAGTGGTAAGCTTATTGTCTCATATTATTCCTTTTTTTTTTTTTTAATTAATGCTGTTAATTAGTAAATACTACTTGGTGAAATTTAGTTGTATTAATTTCTCTTCTAATATTTACCATCTGTTTAAATTTTAGGTAAGTTACATAATCTTGCAAGAGCTATTGCTGATGAAGAAACAGAAAGGGATCAATCTAGAGTGAGTGTCCCATATTCTGACAGGAAAGAGATTCCAAGCTATGACAAGAATGGGGTTCTTGGGCTTGGGTTGAGAACCTCAAAGCAGTCATCTTTGATACCCCCAGCTGGTGAAAATAATGTAAAATCTGCAAGCTATGATGTCAAAGACTCAGAAATGAGATTGTTTGGCCCTTTCACTTCCAAGATCACGACATACCTTTCACAATTCATTCTTCATATTGCTGCAATAGGCGACATTGTCGATGGGACAGATACAACTCATGATTTCAACTATTTTTCGCTTGTGTACGAGTGGCCCAAAGATGTACCATTTCTTCTTGTCCTTTACTTCTTTGTTTGTTCCTTTATCATTTTCGGAAGCTATGTTTTATTTGTACTTAAGAAAGAACTGCTAGTGTTCTGTCAATCATGAAATTTCTTGGTCGGTATTACTAGTGGCTTTTGTATGGATTAGCTTTCATCTAATTACATGGTCAATATCAATGGTTGCAGTTTAAATAATTGGCAGAACATTATGTTAATATTTTTGATTGTTTGTGCTTAAAAGTAGATTTAAAATAGAATAGAAGACTTGTACCATAACTAATTTTACTCATTGAGCTAAGATATCCAAGGTTCGTCTTTCTCAGATCTGCTTCATGACAATATATGTAACTGTGCGTTGGCGAAGATGGGGAAATTTCTAGTCAGGCTATAGGACCAGGGGGGCTGTTGGGTGCTCTTAGATGACATTTACATTCTGCAATTATTATGAAGGGCATTAATGGCTACCTGGTCCATCATTTCTTATACTTTGATTTATTTATTTTGCAGCTTTTGACTCGTTTGGTATTTGAGCGAGGCAGTACTGATGCTGCTGGAAAGGTAGCAGAAATTATGAGTGCAGACTTTGTTCATGAAGTAATTTCTTCATGTGTACCTCCAGTTTACCCTCCAAGATATGGTCATGGTTGGGCTTGCATTCCAGTAATTCCTACACTCCCTAACAGTTATCCTGAAAGTAAAGTCTTCTCACCTTCTAGAGAAGCTAAACCAAAGGTTTACTTCCGTTCTTCTGCCACTCCTGGAGTTCCCTTGTACCCTCTGAAGTTGGATATAGTGAAGCATCTCATCAAGTTATCTGCAGTCAGGGCCATCCTAGCATGTGTGTTTGGAAGTACAATATTGTATTGTGGGAGTGATCCAGCTATATCCAGTTCCTTAAATGATCGCTCACAGCTACCACCCGATGCTGATAGGATTTTCTACGAGTTTGCTCTTGATCAATCTGAGAGGTTTGTTTCAGCCAAATGACATATCCACATAGTGAACATTGTGTTGAACTGTAATTTATGTGATCCTTTCCATTTGGCTAGCAGATTCCCTACCTTGAATCGGTGGATACAAATGCAGACTAACCTTCATCGAGTTTCTGAGTTTGCTGTAATGTCTGAAAACAGAGAAGGTGAAAGCAAAGATAATTCTGAAGCCAAAACTGCAATGAAACGTTTTCGTGATGATGATAGTGATACTGAATCAGAAGTTGATGACGTGGCTGTCAGTCATAGCATTTCAACCCCACTTCATGAGCTTAGGGATCAAGGCAGCGTGGCTCCTGACCCTTGGCTTGAATCTCCAAAATCTGAAATTGCAGAACACGATAAAACAATTTTCCTTGCTTTTGATTGGGAGAATGAAGGACCCTATGAAAAAGCTGTAGAGCGGTACTTCCTGTCCTACTTTTTGCTCTTATTCCTTTACCATTAAGAACTCTCCCTCCCTCTTTCTAATAAAAATTTCTATAGCCTGTGGAAGTCAAAGAAATTTTGTGGTTTAAGTGTGTTCCGTTTATTGCAGAATGAGTTAAAACTGATTTTATGACAAATTGCATCAGCGAGCAAAGTTTTAATTTGCTCAATCTGTTTAGGGAAGGAAAATGTATACTCAGTTTTGCGCCATGGAGACCAAATTCTTTTTAACTTTATATTTCGTTGCCACTGAGAAAAATCATATTTTTAGTGTGCATATTTCGTTTCCCTCTTTCTTTCAACTTCTCCCTTTGTGGCTCTTCCCCTGGACATTTATGAGCTGCAGATAAATAATCTTACGGTTTGAATAAATAATTGACAGATAACTGGTAAGGAAGAAAGCTAACGTCCACTTGTTATCTTATGATTTTGCTGGTGCAGATTGATTGATGAAGGAAAATTAATGGATGCTCTGGCTCTGTCTGATCGCTTCTTGCGCAATGGAGCCTCAGACCAATTGCTTCAGCTGCTCATTATAAGTGGGGAAGAATTCTCTGGACAACAAGGCTATTCTGGCTTTCCTATCTGGAGCAATAGCTGGCAATACTGTCTACGTTTGAGGGATAAACAGATCGCAGCTAGACTTGCCCTCAAGTATGTCTACTGATTCACTTTCATGTTTCATCTGATGAATTCTTTCAGCTATCTGAATTCTCTATGCGTATGTATGAATTATTTTGCTTTATAATTTGTAATTGTACATTTTTATTCATTGTCTTTTTACGTTAGTTAATATTCTATAAGCCATTCTCTTTCAGATCTTTGATAAGAAACAATGTTTTATTAATCAAAGGACTATCTGTACAATTCTCGACGGATAGGATATGCAAACTAAAAATTGAGAAGATGTTGCTTTCCAATTGGGAACAATAATTGAAAATGGAAGACCCTTAAATTCCTCAGCTGTAGAGGCTCATAATGATGTGTAGAAAATAACCAAGAATAGAAAGGGGACTTGTTATGGCATTTGTATTAATTAGAGATTTTTCTTTTAGGATAATTGGTAAGGTAATTTGTTTCCAAACTTAGATTAGTTTTAATTTTGTTATGGCACAATAGAATAGGTCATGAAAGTCGTGAATTTGCAAAAATCAATGTACGGATTTTCCAAATTCCATGTACAAACCATGTAAATCATTTGCTCGATTCACAGTGATTTATGGGAACCTTCCTGCAATCCTAATCGTACCCAAACAAAACGGTTTGTCACATTTATAGACGACCATACGCGGGTATGTTAGGTCTACCTACTGAAGGAAAAAATCGATGTTCGTTCAGTGTTTACAAATTTCTACTCTATGATTCAAACCCAATTTCAAACACAACTTCAAATTCTAAATGTTGACAATGGCACAAAATACTTCGATTGCAAGACTGTAAGAAACAGGATAGTCCACCAAAGTTAATGTGCCAAGACTTCCCAACAAAATGGGATTACTGAACGTAAAAATAGACATCTACTCGAAGTTGCTCGTGCCTTAATGTTTACTACAAATATGCCAAAAACATTATGAGGAGTTGCCATTCTAACATCTACACGTCTCATCAACCGAATGTCTAGTCGTACTCTCTTCTTCGATTCACCTCTATAAAGACTCCAAAAATACTTTCCTACTTTCCGTCTTAGTTCAAATCTACCCCTAAAAGTGTTTGGAAATACTATGTTCGTACACATTCATTCCCATCATCGAAGCAAACTTGAACTACTTGCCATCAAGTGTGTGTTCATTGGGTACTCACCTACTCAAAAAGGCTATAAATGCTATG